CGTTGGTACCCTTTGCATTTTCGTGTTTAGGTAGAATGTCTACTACCCACTAGGCTCTTAGAGAGAAGTTTCTCGAATTGAATCCCTGACCTACTTCAGGAAGAAGGATGGGGAAGGGTGGGGAGAAGAGGTTTTCATGCTTGCAGAGGGAAACCCTCTTAAAAAATAGGAAGTAAGCAGAGTGCATGTTGGTGCACTAGAGCCAAACAAGAATGAAGTGAGATAATTGCAAATATATGAGTTAATTTATATGAAGGGGCTTTGAAACTCTACATAGCTATACAGACATTGGCAGTAATTGTAAAGGTGGGATTATGCATAGGAAAAGAGTAGAGGCTGGTGGCCTTCTTCATACTGCAAACATTTATTGAGTGTTTAGGATGCGGCAGGTCTATACTGAGCCTGGAGCTTTGGGGATATATCAGTGAATCAAGCAAACACAGTCTCAGTTTGGGGAGGATATCTCTGTCATCGCTCCATCATTCTCTGCATGGAGAAGAGGAAAGCGTCCTTCCGAGAGCCAGAGGGTTGGTGTAATAAAGATACAGATGGCACTTAATTTCGTCCCATGTGTGAATCCTTATACTTGCTGATCTCTCCCAGGATTGTGCCTGGTGATTTTACTGTTCTTTCTGCAGAAACGGCCCATCGCGGCGGAAGTAGGGCGGCACGTGGTGCAGCCTGAAAGCTGAGAAGCGCTAGGAAAAGGAGATGGAGGAGGAATCGCGGCAGTGATCAGGGGCTGAAAAGCCTAGTGTGCGGGGACTAAAAGAGCACTCCCAAAATCATCTTCTCAAATCACCCTATTTACAAGGCGGACGATTCAGAGACAAGAAGTAACTCACCCAGCGCCACATATCACGTGTACCAAATGTCCAACCTCTTTTGACCTGGCAGTTAAATGGTTATACTGTTTTTTGATATGTTTTGCCTTCAATGGACCTCTAACCATCCTGTGAGGCATGGCGCTGAAGAACGAGGTGGTTAGTGTCAGACCATCTGGGTTCGAATCCCAGCTCTGCTACCAACTACCTGTGTGACCTTGAGGAAATCACTTAGCCTATTTGTATCTCAGTTTCTTTATCTCTAAACAGAGATAACCTTGGTACTTATCTGTGGCTTTTAAAGGGATTAAAGTAGTTAAAACACATAAGAACCTTAGAACACAGTATGTGCTCTGCAAGAGTTTATAATATGAATATGTATGTGTGTATAATTTTAGCCTAGTCATCCTTAAATATCAAAGGAACCGAAGCAGCTTAGTAAACAGAATGCATTTCCTCCTCATTTATTACTTGACTGTTCTCTTTCGCGTGTTCTAAATGTTCAATATGTCGAAGTGGTCTGTCTATTCAATGTTCTTTAAGAAGTGGGCTGGGCTTATACACACAGATCCACTCAACAAATAGATGTGCATCGGGACGGGGCATTTTTGCATTACTGTCTGTCAGGACATTGCCCACAACTGAAATAAGTGTCTCGCAAAAGAGGAGCCTATGCGACGCAGGCGATGCCCGCGAAGTTAGGACGAAAGCGGGGGTTCCGAACTCCCCAGAAAATGACACGAGCACTCGCGTCACTTGCGTTCCCTCACCTCTTCTGGGATAAGCTGAGTTTCACCCGGAAGTGAAAACATCATTGCAAAATGGAGAGAATCACCAGGAATCTCTAGGCCGAGAATAAATATCTCTTTCCACCTTCGGCCTTTCAAACCTAGGACCATGGGTCCTAACTGCTGGAGGCACAAAGTGACCCCGACTGCTGATTAGAGGGAAGGAGGAAGGAAAGAGAGGGGCCATCTTGGTCCTTAGACACACACACGGCTCCCCTCCCCCAGGCTGTCTCTTCCCCTCCCCCAGGCTGTCTCTTCCCCTCCCCCAGGCTGTCTCTTCCCCTCCCCCAGGCTGTCTCTTTCTCCTGTTCTCCCAGTCTGACCATTGGCTGTGAAACTCAGTCACCACAAGGCGAAGGGAGTGTTCCTGGTTGAGAAAAGGTCAAGTAGTGACAATAAGAGCTGACATTTAGTGAATGGGGACAATGCCAGGCACTGTTCTCAGCCATTCACAGGCATAAACTCGTGTCATTTTAAAAACAACCCTTTTTGTGGGGGGGGGGGTCACTATACATATCATCATTTTACAGAGAAGGAAACTGAGACCCAGAAACCTCAGAGCTAGAACTCGAACCCAGTCCATGACCTGTTTCCGGGACGTGATGAAATAAGCATAGACGCTGAGTGAGAGTAAAGCGCTAGGAAAGTTGACAGCAACTCGCCGTTCGCCTGGCATCCCGGAGTGTGATCCGCAGACTCATCTCAGTGAACGGGGTCTACGCAGTTCTGGCCCTGCAGGACCCACGTAATACTGTACATGCGGTGCAGGGTGTATGCTGGTTACACACGGCGGGACAACACACAGGCCCGTGAGTGACCGGAAGTTGAAACACCAGCCCTTCACCAGCCACGGTTTGATAAGCACTGCTCTAAAGCTTCATGCTATACGGCCTCCAAAATCTCAGTGCTTGTCACGAACGCAATGAACCCGCGAGGCGTAAATGTGTGTAGAGGAAGGAATATCGCATCGAGAGCCAGGAGATAATAAACAACGGGCGTGAGCAATAAGCGATATTGCATGTTAAAAGTTAATAAGTGCCCTGGAGAAACAGAGAGTGGGTAAGGAATCCGGAGTTGGAGGAGGGGCCTATGGTACATAAACGGAGGTGGAGGTCGTTAGGATAGCAGTTTTCCCTGGGCAGACAAGCCGCTCTGCTCGGTAAATGTTTAACTTTGCCTGGCTTCTCCCTGCCCTTCCCTCTTGCATGCCCTGGCTCTGCTATTTTCTCTCTGAATCTATCAACACAGAATCTTAAAGTGATCAAAAAATAACAAGGCGATTCATTCTGTGCCAACCAGGAAAGCCCAGTCCATCACGGTACGTACTCTGAAGCTTAACTCTAGGTTCAGAATAGATGGTCTGTAAGATCTCTTCCAACTTTGAAACTCTATGACTTTGGCCGAAAGACCTGTCGTATACTGTTCTCAGAGGGCTTAACCTTATCAAAAAGGCTCATTTGATATGATTCATTAATTCATCCATTCATTTATTCGATATAGACTTATTGATCACCTACTCTGAGTCAGGCACTGTCTTAGGCATAGATGCTACAGGGGTGCATGAGATACAGACTCTGCCTCTGAGGGTTTCAGAGTTCAGCAAGAAAGACAGACATAGAAACAACAAAATGACAACACGGTTCTTAAGTGCGACAGCGCACGTGTGAACAGTGCTGTGAGGATGCAGATGAGGGAGTGTAGAATTCCTCCACGCATCACAACAAGATTGACAGGTGCTGACATGTACTCTAGGATTTGAAGGATAAAGAGGAGTTGGCCTTCTTGAGTAGGGAGGAGGGATGCCACATCGGGCAGGACAACAGATGTGGAGACATCAAACTGGGTGACATATTTAGGGAGTCGTAAAATAGCTTAATCTGGTTGTAAGATTGTATGCGTGTGTGGGTCACAATTGGGCTTTGTTTGTTTGGTCTGTGGTTGTAGTGTGAATATCCATTTTTTCCCAGTGTGTGATTACACACACACACACACACACACAAAGTCATCATTTTCTTTCTTTGGTCCTTCATTCTTCATTCCTTCATTTATAACACGATGTGGCATCTCAGGGTCATTAAACTGCAAATCCCGTCACGGATTCACCATCTGAGTCCCAGTGCCTAGCACAGTGCCTAGTACTTACAGGCACTCGAACTTGGTTGAACGAATGAACTAATAAATAAATGAGTCAATTACCACTAACATCCTTTTCAGTTGTTTGCCACTTCTAGAATCTTTAGATTTTCCCACAGCTTTGGATGAACCATTTGTCTGCATGTCCCTGACAAAGGGATATTGTGGGTCGAGCGTACATATGAATATACTTACACATATTTTAAAAATAGGCCACAGGATGTCAGAGCATTCAAGAGTCATGGGTGGGGGCTAGCATAAGAGAGAGAGGACCGATCAGAGAAGCACTTGACTATCACATTATTTTTAGCGATCAAGGGCCAGCTGTCTGTTTCTCATTACTTCTTCCTACTTCCCCTTCCATGAATTATAACCGACCGTATCTCTAA